CCAGATTGAATAAACACATGAACCCTATTGAATGAACACATGAACCAGATTGAATGAACATATGAACAAGATTGAATGAACACATGGACCAGATTGAATGAACACATGGACCAGATTGAATGAACACATGAACCCGATTGAATGAACACATAGACCAGATTGAATTAACACATGAACCCGATTGAATGAACACATGAACAAGATTGAATGAACACATGGACCATATTGAATGAACACATGAACCAGATTGAATGAACACATGAACCAGATTGAATGAACGCATGAACCAGATTGAATGAACACATGAACCCGATTGAATGAACACATGAACCCGATTGAATGAACACATGGACCAGATTGAATGAACACATGAACCCGATTGAATGAACACATGAACCCGATTGAATGAACACATGGACCAGATTGAATGAACACATGAACCAGATTGAATGAACACATGAACCCGATTGAGTGAACACATGGACCAGATTGAATGAACACATGAACCAGATTGAATGAACAAATGGACCAGATTGAATGAACACATGAACCCGATTGAATGAACACATGGACCAGATTGAATGAACACATGAACCAGATTGAATGAACACATGAACCCGATTGAATGAACACATGAACCAGATTGAATGAACACATGAACCAGATTGAATGAACACATGGACCAGATTGAATGAACACATGAACCCGATTGAATGAACACATGAATGAGATTAAATGCCGGTAGAAGTGTTTAAAGTAAAGATGGCCATGTCAGCGAATGTGGAAAAAAATAATATTGTTATGAAGTGAAAACTAATGTAACTCCTTCTTCTTCTTCTATATTTTGAGGGCCCACAATCAATGGATTGATCATTCTGGCTCCTATGTTTCAGAAGGGTTCGCGATGGTACTGTGCATGGTTTTCAAGGGTTGCCTCACTGGTTGCCAGGGCGACTCAGCAAGGGTTTTATGAACCTTTGTAATAAAGAAAAAAACTAGATCTAATTGAAATCATTTTTAAAAATGAAAAAAAGCATCTAATTTAACACAACTGTCATTTTAAAAAGAACTAATTGAACACATTTAAAATAAAGGAAAAATCAACAACTACTTGGACATATTTGTAATAAAGAAAGAAACTAAATTAACACATTTGGAATAAAAATTAAAAAAACTAATTTAACATAGTTTTAATAAAGGAAAAAAACAACTAATTTAACACATTTGTAATAAAGAAAAAAGCTAATTTAACACTTAACACATTTTGTAATAAAGGAAAAAAAAACAACTAATGTAACACATTTGTAATAAAGAAAAAAGCTAATTTAACACTTAACACATTTTGTAATAAAGAAAAAAAAACGAATTTAACACATTTGTAATAAAGAAAAGACGAGTAATTTTGGGGTGCTCTACAGGGTGCAGTTACCGACACTAACAACGAAGGTGTACCAACTACAACTGAATAATACTGGTATGTAAGCCCGGGGACATCTTCAACAGCAGAACATCAGAGAGAAGAAAAGTCCTTATCGCCTCAATCAAACAGCAAAACGAGGTAGGTGGAAGCTTGAATAGGAGAACAGGAAAAAATGTTAGGACATTTCGGCATAGAGCCTTCTTCAGCACGCAGGACGAATGAAGAGATCACAAAGAACAGAGCACAGTGAACCACTCAAGAGGTATCCATTGTTGTCGCCGGAATAAGAAAAGAGAAAGAAAATACTTGCAAAGGGCCTGTCCCCGACTAGACAAAAAGTTAGTCAAAGAGAAGAATAATTTCAACATCAGTAATACCTATTTTAAGCCAAAAGACGCTAAATGGTGTGTGTGGGGGGCGGGATTAGATGTACAGCGCCCAGCGTGGGAGGGGCGTGGCCTTCTCTTGTGTCCTACCTAATCTGCGGATTCAGAGGACCTCGGATATTTAGAGGACTGAATAGTAGCGCCTGAATTTTTATTTTTTAAACTGTCAACTTTGAATGATGTCGGCATACATCATACAACGTGTCAGAGGGGCTTCTAAAGTCACGTGACAGCCCTGTAGGGGAGTGTCAGAGGGACTATTAAAGTCACGTGACGGCCCTGTAGGGGAGTGTCAGAAGGGCTTCTAAAGTCGCGTGACAGCCCTGTAGGGGGGTGTCAGAGGGGCTATTAAAATCACGTGACGGCCCTGTAGGGGAGTGTCAGGGGGGCTTCTAAAGTCACGTGACGTCCCTGTCGGCCCTGTAGGGGAGTGTCATAAGGGCTTCTAAAGTCGCGTGACAGTGCTGTAGGGGGGTGTCAGAGGGGCTATTAAAGTCACGTGACGGCCCTGTAGGGGAGTGTCAGAGGGGCTTCTAAAGTCACGTGACGTCCCTGTAGGGGAGTGTCAGAAAGGCTTCTAAAGTCACGTGACGGACATGTAGGGGAGTGTCAGAGGGGCTTCTAAAGTCACGTGACAGCCCTGGAGGGGAGTTTCGTCTTCAATGCAGTACTGCTACCCCGTGGATTACTTATTACTCAACGTTGTGGGCATTTAACAACGATGTCAACTACTTTTATTTCAATGTCTCTTCACGATTTCCTCCCGTCTTGTTTAGCTGTCTGTGGTTTTATTAATTTTGTCTGGTTTGAATGGTCTTGTCATTTAAATTGTCTTACTGTATGACATTTAGTGGTCTCATCTTATTTGATTTAATCTCTATTTTATATCATTTAAATGGTCTTATCTTATGTCATTTAAATGTCTTATTAGCTCATTTTTTTCTATAATCGTCTTAACGTGGATTCCCCCCCCCCCAACCCTGGCCCCACTTAAACGCCCTTGCTGGGAAGTCATTTGAATGTTAAGTCTTCACGTGGTCACTGTGACGGTGATGGGGGGGGGTGTGGGGGGGTAGGGGGGGGTGGTTTTGGGGGGGGGGGGGGGGGGATTTTTAATTCCTTGCTGGGAAGTCATTTGAATGTTAAGTCTTCACGTGGTCACTGTGACGGTGATGGGGGGGGGTGTGGGGGGGTAGTGGGGGGAGTTTTTGGGGGGGGGGTAGTGGGGATTTTTAATCTATCAGTGTCGTAATCAATTACAAGTATTCGAGAACTATCTGTCAGTACTGTATCTCTCATGGCGATTATTGAGGCATAATCTATCTGTATGTAATGAGGCATAATCTATCTGTCTGTAATGGGGCATGATCTATCTGTATGTAATAAGGCATGATCTATTTATCTATAATGAGGCATGATCTATTTATCTGTAATGAGGCATTTTCTATTTATCTGTAATGAGGCATGATCTATTTATCTGTAATGAGGCATGATCTATTTATCTGTAATGAGGCATTATCTATTTATCTGTAATGAGGCATGATCTATTTATCTGTAATGAGGCATGATCTATCCGACGTTAATTGATCTTGAGAGAATGTTGATGCAAACAGTTATTGTTGAATATATTTAAAGGGCATCTGCAGGTGTCACCATCCTTGTACTAGCAAGTATGTTAGCAATGTGTATTTTCGCGCGCCTGTCAATATCAGGACATGTACTTAGATAGTTCATGAAATCATGAAAAGACATACTCATAATGACAAAATTGTTACCATGTTTTCAACGTTTTCACAGCAGTGCAAATTGGGTCAGTGGTGTATTTTGGTGACATGGGACAGATTGTTACGGTAAGTCCCGCGGCCCTATAAATAACTTGAACCAGGTGTGCATATAAAAAACAGGCAGTCGTCGGATACTAATGTTTTGTACGAACGTACAGACGACCGTTAGATCTTCCCCCCCTCACCTGATGTACCTTCATCAAATCAGACTCATGGACTAGAGTTTCGATGTCTGCTGCTTCTATTCTGATGTTTGCTGCTTGTATTCTGATATTTTAATTTTGCTGGATGTGGATGGAATCGGGTTTTTAAAGAAATCCCTGTTCGAACATAATGTACCGGAAGTGCTCAAGGGGCAACAGGTCTACTGATATATTTTCGGGTTTATTTGAAATGGGGAATTTTTTTTTAAACCTCTGTTAATACTTTATGTCCCTGCGATCAAGTAAGGTATAATTTAAATCCATTTCCTGTCGATGTACAGGTAGGTCGTTGTTTGTTAATGATATTTTATTTTTTAAAATTATTTTTAAAAATTAAAAATAAGTCTTAACAACGAATAGGTATTTGCAAGCATACACTAAAATAATGTGCTGGAGATAAGTAGAAGGCTATTCAATGTCAGTGTGATACTAGTGGCCACAAATATAACCAATATATTTCGGTATATTTTTAGTACATTAGCAGCAAGTTGGTACGGTGGTTCTGTATGGACTGAAATTAATTCATTCACCAGGACGATTTTTAGGGGCAGCGGCCATTTAAATCTATTCTTATGCTTTCATCTCGATATGTTTCTTCTGTGAGAGCTGGATACCAATGGGGCTCTATTCCGTGAATCTTACGCTCGAGAGTAAATTTACCGAAATATAAATAAGACCAATTATTTTAAAGAGAAGCGTACCGTCTTTTGTTTTTTTTAATGATTACATTTTTAAAATGTGAAATAGATGATATTGCTGATTGGCGATCCGAAAACAGGAGCCATAAAATATTTCAATAAGTTTTTAAACAAGCTTAAAGCGTTGCAATGCATTTGATCAGCCTTAACTAATCGTCGAATTAGATAAATATCAACAAAATGAATAAAGTTTCCTTTGATTCAAATTTCAAACAAAGTTAAATATAAATATGCGAAGCAGGAATTAAAAGCACAAATAAAAACAACGCAAAGATGAATCGTGAATAATTTAAAGTGTGAAATATATATATACAGCCAGTGCTCAACTTACGACCACGATCGGTTCAGACAGACAGTCGTAACACGATTTGATCGTAAGATGAGTACGCTATGTGTACAGTAATGTGAATTGATGTAATAAAAATATTTAAGTCAAATTATACAATAAATTTTCTATTTATTATTGTTATAAATCATAATTGTCGATGTTCATGACCGACGATGATTGAAGACAACGCCGTTGGACTGATAATTGAGGCAGAAATAAATCTGAAATCTAATCTAGTATGGCTAGTGTTTGTGGTCGTAAAAATCGAATGGTCGTAGGTTTGCATAGGTCGTAAGTCGAGCACTAGCTGTATATATTTATATCTCCGCCAGTTTCAGCAAAATGACCTCGAGCTGTGCTGCCAGGAACTATAAAATAACTTTTGTACATTATTGATTGTTCCACAAATCTATTTCGGGCCACCAATGTTTCAATACGGCAGTCCCATGGTAGCACATACGTTACTTGTTTGTTAAGTTTGTGGATGCATATTCCATGTTGGGAACCGCTGCCTTAAGGAGTGACAACAAAAGTTGCCTTTTTACTTTATTTTTGGAGTGTGACCCTGACTCATTGTTAGGAGTTTATACACTTCAGATAAAGAACATAAAATTCTGAAAACATTAACTCTAACGCATGAGATCTTTTCATCGTCATCATCATCATCATCATCGCCATAGTTGCCAGCTAAGGGTCACTGGATGTCTGTGCCAACAATGGATGGGGACAACAAGAACAAAGTCGAGCTCCGTAACTTCTCCTCGTGTCAGAGCTCCAAAACCAGCTTACACCTCATGCTGGATGCCAGGTGCAAGATCATCTGTGCGAGCGCTGAGATCAGGACAGCCTCACAGAAGGGGGAGTGTCTGGTCGACTGCTCAAAGTCAGTACCGCTCGCATCGCTCGAAGAGTTGCACAAGGAATTCAAGCATCTGGTGGAGGAATGTTTTAGGCTGATGAAAGATCACGCCCTGGAGCACCCTGCTCACGGTGGGCGGCAAGGTAAAGGTCATTCCTTCACACTTTCCCATCACAATAGTTGTAAATTACAGTATTTTTTAATGGATTACACATCTTACAACTGAAAGCGCTCTGTCAACACATACATTTTTATTAAATTTATTACAGTGTTCTGTGCATTCAAAAAATTATAATAATTTTAACACAAAACAACTGATTCTGTAAATCTAATGCATATATAATGTGTTTCTTCTTAATGCCATAGAATAAGTATTTGTGCTTTTGTTGTATAGCCTTTTAACTTCTTGCCCCTTGAATGGTGTTTTGAGATACCTAGTGCTTATCAATTGTTTACTTCTTTAACTTCCGAACCACAATCACAATTTGTGTCTCAGCAACGGACAGCGGTTACTGCAATTCTTCAGATATGGCAACGATGACTAATGAACCCGTTGAAACCGGTGAGTCCGAGTCCATGTTCATTTTATGGTACATGAGTTTATGTATCGGGTGAAATGTCGGTGTCCTGACTTCTATCAAACATGAGTAAAACTTCTCTTTTATTTTCGATAAATTACTTCAATTCATTCAAATATATTGATAATCACAGACTAAATTACAAGTACTCATTCAGTCATATTGATACATACAGACTAAATAGCAAGTGTTCATTCAGTGACATTGATATATACAGACTAAATTACAAGTATTCAGTCAGTGACATTGATACATACAGACTAAATTACAAGTATTTTATTCAGTGATATTGATACATACAGACTAAAGATGTTATAACTTTTTTAATTTTTTTTTTTCAGTTGGAATCGCTGAACGTCAAGATGTGAGTATTTTTTGTGTTTTGTTTGATATATTTGTAGGAAATAGTCTGATCTGATCTGTAGGAAATATTGTGATCAAAATGATTTGTAGGAAGTATTGTAGTCAACATGATTTGTAGGAAATATTATCTTCAAAATGATAATTTAAAAATATTTAGGTCGAAAATCAGTTGTTAGTGTGGTCAACATGTTATTAAGATATATTGTGGTCAAATGATTTTTAGAAAACATTGTGTTCAAAATGAAATGTAGCAAATATTTTGATCAAAATGATTGGTGGCAAAAATCGTGGTCAAAATGATTGGTGGGAAATATTGTGTTCAAAATGATTGGTGGGAAATATTGTGTTCAAAATGATTGGTGGGAAATATTGTGTTCAAAATGATTGGTAGGAAATATTGTGGTCAAAATGAAATGTAGCAAATATTTTGATCAAAATGATTGGTGGGAAAAATCGTGGTCAAAATGATTGGTGGGAAATATTGTGTTCAAAATGATTGGTGGGAAATATTGTGTTCAAAATGATTGGTGGGAAATATTGTGTTCAAAATGATTGGTGGGAAATATTGTGGTCAAAATGATTTTTAGGAAATATTGTGGTCAAAATGATTGGTGGGAAATATTGTGGTCAAAATGAATGGATGGAAATATTGTGGTCAAAATGATTTGCTCAAAATATTGTGTTCAAAATGATTTGTTCAAAATATTGTGTTCAAATCGATTTGTCCAAAATATTGTGGTCAAAATGATTGGTGGGAAATATTCTGGTCAAAATGATTTGCAGGAAATATTGTGGTCAAAATGATTTAAAGGAAATATTGTTATCAAAATGATTTAAAGGAAATATTTTGGTCGAAATGATTTTTGGGAAATATTGTGGTCAAAATGATTTAAAGGAAATATTGTTGTCAAAATGATTTAAAGGAAATATTGTTATCAAAATGATTTAAAGGAAATATTTTGGTCAAAATGATTTAAAGGAAATATTGTTGTCAAAATGATTTAAAGGAAATATTGTTGTCAAAATGATTTAAAGGAAATATTGTTGTCAAAAGGATTTAAAGGAAATATTGTGGTCAAAATGATTTAAAGGTAATATTGTGGTCAAAATGATTTAAAGGAAATATAGTGGTCATAATGATTTAAAGGAAATATTGTGGTCAAAATGATTTAAAGGAAATATTGTGGTCGAAATGATTTAAAGGAAATATTGTGGTCAAAAAGATTTAAAGGAAATATTTTGGTCGAAATGATTTTTGGGAAATATTGTGGTCAAATTAATTTGTATGAAATATTGTGGTCAAAATGATTTAAAGGAAATATTGTTGTCAAAATGATTTAAAGGAAATATTGTGGTCAAAATGATTTAAAGGAAATATTGTGGTCAAAATGATTTAAAGGAAATATTTTGGTCGAAATGATTTTTGGGAAATATTGTGGTCAAATTAATTTGTATGAAATATTGTGGTCAAATGATTTGTGAGAAATATTGTGGTCAAAATGATATTGGTCATCTTGGGATCATGCATGTGGCTTCTTTCCTTCTCGTTTACCTTGTTTGTTGTCGCTTCTCACATTCGATTTACATGACAAAAATAATGTATTTAAATAAAGGTTGCCAAGCAAAAACCGCTTGACTATTTCCTTTCGAAGACATGATAAAAAATGGAGAGTAATGATTGAAAAATGATACTAAACCAATCATAAATTTATGACTATCACTTAATAAAGAAAAAATTTGAAATAAAATACATATGTTGTAGTGTTCCAGAGATATTGCACCAATATGGCCTTTTTAAATATAGTCTGGTAAAATATGGTCTTGTTAATTATGTTTAAGTAAAATGTTCAAGAACATGTTATAGTAAATTCTAATGTAGTAAAATACGGTATAGTAGGATATGGTCTAGTCAAATTGGGTCTAGTTAAATATGGACATGTAAAATATAGTCTAGTAAATTAGGGTCTAGTTAAATTTGGTATAGTGTAGCATGGCCTAGTAAAATATTGTCTACTGTATAGTAAGATCTAGAATAGTGAGATCTAGTTTAATACTTTCTAGCATAGTATGGTCTAGTTAAAAAATATGGTCTAGTATAGTATGGTCTGGTTAAATATGTTCTGATTCTAGGAAACTGATAATCCTGGCCACTGGGCACCTGAACATTTCATTGAATCTCTGAAGGGAAAAAAAATACTAATATTATCATTGCCATTATTATATTGATTGTCCCTGTGGAGATATCTAACAAACAACGCTGTTCAAATCGTGTGGCAATCACTTAAAAGTCAGTGTTAAAAAAGTTGACTTCTAGTGCGGGGGGACAGCTTTTATGGGCTTTATTGCCTAATGCTAAGCTTGGAGTTACCATATATTGATAGGGCTGATAGTGCTAACGTCGAGGCGACATCTTGTTAAGTGCTTTAACAATGACTTCTTGTGTTGAAGTACTAGTAAAGGGCACAGCGATTTGTTTCTGAATTTCCCAAGTTTTTTATGAGGTCAGTTGATAATTAATATGTATGTTTTACAACCGTCAGAAATACACTCCTTACAGATGTAATATGTTAGCAGGACGACTGTGAATACAACATAATCTTCATTGTTGGTTTGTCCGCCTGGAATAGATTTGGAAAAAACTATGACCTAATTTGAAGATATATTTAGATTCATACTGAAATTTTAACAAAACCGTACCCTTCCCCCCCTCCCCCAGGGCCTATCTTTGCACTCCACTTTGTTCAATGAAAACCTTGGGTAAAAATTTTAGATAATAAAATGTGCCTAGTTTAATGTGTGGAATATATGGGCATACCAGAGGATCGGAGGGCGAGTGGATATATCAGAGGATCGGAGGGCGAGTGGATATACCAGAGGATCGGAGGGCGAGTGGATATATCAGAGGATCGGAGGGCGAGTGGATATACCAGAGGATCGGAGGGCGAGTGGATATATCAGAGGATTGGAGGGCGAGTGGATATACCAGAGGATCGGAGGGCGAGTGGATATATCAGAGGATCGGAGGGCGAGTGGATATATCAGAGGATCGGAGGGCGAGTGGATATACCAGAGGATAGGAGTGGGAGGGGATATATGGATATATAAATGAGTGTGAAGATGTGTGAATGTATGGAATAATAGGGACTAAGAAGTTTGTGGAGAAAGAGAACACCAATTCCTAGCAGTGGCCCTAACTTTATACCAGGCCAACGCCAGATGGCCCAAGGCCAATGTCATGAGGCACAAGGCCAATGTCACGAGGCCCAGGGCCAATGTCACTAGGCCCAAAGCCAACGTCACGAGGCCCAAGGCCAACGTCACGAGGTACAAGACCGACGTCACGAGGCTCAAGGCCAACGTCACGAGGTACAAGACCGACGTCACGAGGCCCTAGGCCAACGTCACGAGGCCCAAGGCCAACGTCACGAGGCCCAAGGCCAACGTCACGAGGCCCAAGGCCAACGTCACGTGGTACAAGACCGACGTCACGAGGCCCTAGGCCAACGTCACGAGGCCCAAGGCCAACGTCACGAGGCCCAAGGCCAACGTCACGAGGCCCAAGGCCAACGTCACGAGGCCCTAGGCCAACGTCACGAGATAAAAGACCGAGGTCACGAGGCCCAAGGCCAACGTCACGACGTACAAGGCCATGGAAACACTGCCACCATGGCATAGATTTATGATAGTCTTCAGATTGTCTTCAGAGAAATGGCGTTGGGGGGTGGGGTGCATAACTGTGTCGTATTCATTGATCTATTTTTTAAAGTCGCGAGCAGGGCTGCGTTGGTTGGCTGATAAAGAGGCTCCCAGGTGAGAAATTAACTACATATCTAAACGACTAAAAGGGGCCGTGTAATTTTGAAATATCACATATCTGTTTAGGTAAACAGACCCTCACTTTGTACCTACAGAGCTTAATAGCAAGAAAGGAAAAGGATACACGTCCTCGGGCTACCCCCATGTGTATGGGAGATTACCCTTTTATAGAGGAGATAACCCATATGTATGGGAGAGCACCCTTTTATAGAGGAGATAACCCATGTTTGTAGGAGATTACAATTGTATAGGAGGTTACCAGAGTATATAGGAATCTATATAGGAAATTGCTCGTGTATATATAAAATTACCCGTGTATATAGAAGATTACCCGTGTATATATAAAATTACCCGAGTATATAGGAGATTATGACTGCAAATTCTTTACATTGAAACTTCCAGTCGAACCTCCTGCCTGCTCCAATTTCTACCCAAATTTCCAGTTCTATTTTTATCTGCAATTCTTAAGATTATTTGTAAACTTTTGCACAACTCGTGGTCAAAGGGAGAGAAGCGCATGGGCGGATCAAATTTTTAACAAATTTTTTTTTTTTTAAAGAAACCTGAAATATCTCTACGGATAGATTTAATAATTAATTGTTACAGTTTGAAATTTAAAGGAAAACGTTTTCAAAGAAACATTTGATAATATTTGTGTAAACTCTGACTCACCGGTCAACTCTGACTCACCAGTTAACTTTGTCTGACCGGTTAACTCTGAATCACTAGTAAACTCTGCCTCACTGGTCAACTCTGACTCACAAGTCAACTCTGCCTCACTGGTCAACTCTGCCTGCCCAGTCAA